GCCCTCGCCGCGCGCTGGGGCGCGGAGCTGAGTGTCGCCCTGCACCGCGCAACGGCACGCCAGCTCCAGACAGCGCTGGGCGAGGACCGGGCAGGCGGGGCGGCGGCGCTCCGGGCGGCGGGGGCCGCCTAGCTGGCCGGCGGCGCGACGCGACGCACTACCAGTTCGTCGCGTTCTCGGCCAAGTCCATAGTGTCGGGGGCGGCTGCCGGGCGGCGGAACAGACCCGCGCTTCCGCCGCAGGAGGAGGAGGAGGAGGAGGAGGAGGAGGAGGAGGAGGAGGAGGAGGAGGAGGAGGAGGAGGAGGAGGAGGAGGAGGAGGAGGAGGAGGAGGAGGAGGAGCGAGGAGGAGGAGGAGGAGGAGGAGGAGGAGGAGGAGGAGGAGGAGGAGGAGGAGGAGGAGGGAGGAGGCGGAGGAGGAGGAGGAGGAGGAGGAGGAGGAGGAGGAGGAGGAGGACCAGGGTAGACCCAAGGGTCGTCGACGATGTGTGACCCTACCACTATGGTTGGAGGGGACGGCTTGGGAGGGATGAATCTTCGAGAGGCCGGGGGGGAGCTCTACGCGAGGATCTTAGATGCCCCCTGCCAGGCAGCGCGAACCCCACGCCCTCGCGCAAATGCCCGCTGGGGATGTGTAAGCAACCGCGTAGGGTCAGGCAGACGAGATCCGAGGCTCCACTGTAATGCCAGACAGTGCCGGCTGGCCGGCTGCACCCGCTGCCTTTCCGTAGCTATTTGTGCTCAGGCGTGGCTCGAACGCGAGCCTCAAGGCCTCGAGCCTCTAGCGAGCACGGCGGCTTTCTGACGAACACGCAGTGGGATTGCGATGCGACCCACCAGCCAAAACGGCACACCGTGGGATCGCGATGCGACCCACCAGCCAAAACGGCACACCATGGGATCGCGATGCGACCCACCAGCCAAAACGGCACACCATGGGATCGCGATGCGACCCACCAGCCAAAACGGCACACCATGGGATCGCGATGCGACCCACCAGCCAAAACGGCGAACCATGGGATCGCGATGCGACCCACCAGCCAAAACGGCGAACCAAGGAAAACCACGGGGACCACGATGTCGCCCAACCCGCACGGGACCACTATGTGGCCCACCCCACTGGGACCACGATGTGGCCCAACCCGCCGGGGGACCACTATGTGGCTTTGGCAGGGAGAATGAAATCAGCATGCCCCACTGGGACCATGATGTGGCCCACCCCCACCATGGGACCACTATGTGGCCCGGGGGGAGAGGGGAAACAGGACCACAATGTGGCCTGCCCCACTCACAGGAACGAGCTTGGGACGAAGTGAGTGGGCTGTAACTAGGGACCTGCACTTCGTCCCCGGGCAGCAGCACGACAGAATATACGTCTTTGCCCCTGTATAAAAAGAGGAACAGGCATCGTCCTGAGAGCACAACCTTGCGCGAATGCTTTCGTAACGCCGCGTAAGAATCGCGTAAGGTCAGGCCACACGGCCGTTCCTGAGGAGTCGTGGCCCTATCACTAACTACGGGCACAACCGTCTTGACAACAGCACCCTGCGTAAATGCCCGCGCAGTGCCGCGTAAAAAAAAAAACGCGTAAGGTCAAGCCACGCGGCCCCTCTCCGCAAGATTCGTGACCCTACCACTATGGTTGGAGGGGACGGCTTGGGAGGGATGAGTCTTCGAGAGGCCGGGGGGGGGCTCTACGCAAGGATCTTATATGCCCCCTGCCAGGCAGCGCGAACCCCACGCCCTCGCGCAAATGCCCGCTGGGGATGTGTAAGCAACCGCGTAGGGTCAGGCAGACGAGATCCGAGGCTCCACTGTAATGACAGACAGTGCCGGCTGGCCGGCTGCACCCGCTGCCTTTCCGTAGCTATTTGTGCTCAGGCGCGGCGCGAACGCGAGCCTCAAGGCCTCGAGCTTCTAGCGAGCGCGGCGGCTTTCTGCCCGCCACCGCCCACAGCACCGCCTCTACGACACTGGCGAGCGAGGATGCGCCTGACTGCCTGGGAGCACTATCGCCTCGCATGTGTCGGGTGGTACACACATTGTGGCTGCAAAGCGGGGAACTCACCCGAACACTGTTGCCCGCATGGCTACGGCGCTATACGTGTGCAGCATCCTGACGGCAACCGTTTTCTGGGACAGCGAGGAGGAGTTCATGACTACAGCGACATGCCTCCTCGACGAGGAGCTGCACGTGCACGCGTCAGAGCTGTGGCAAACAGCCAGCGCCGAGGCCGACAGCATCGTAGCCGCCTTGGCCCGGATCGCATACATAGCACGGAAACACTCTCCGCCCCCAAGGGAAACTCCCGCGACGAGAACGACCAAATGGGCGGAAACAGGCGCCGTGCTTCCGAGACCAGGCAAGCGGCGCCGAGCCATTCCAGCAGCGGCGCCGCTCTCTGCCTCCGCAGCAGACGTGGACAAGAGCAAACTGGAAAACGCGCTGCAGCTCGCTTTTGCCCTAGCCGACGACATCGGCATGGCGTCAGCCAGATTGCGGCAGATCAAAGAAAGCGTGCTTCCAGAGGCCGAGCAACGCAGCCCACTGAGGATGTTGATTCTACAAAAGGCCAAAGTTTCCTCTACACTTATGGGGCACATTCGGGCCGTCTGCCGCCTCAGGAGCTGGTCTGAAAGCAAAGGCCTAGACCCCTGGAAGCTCACGCCGCTAGAAATAACATATTTTCTACGGGATTCAAGCGTCGGTCGGAACAGCGTCCCGCGCATGCTCCTACACGGCTTGGGCTGGGCACGCACTGCCTTGGTGCGTGCGCCCGTGGGCGCTGCGAGACGCAGCCGTGCAGGCCGTTGCCAAAATGTTATCCAGAGATGCAAGCGCAGCCCGCTTGCAGGCGACGCCGTACACATACCAGACCGTGGTGGGCCTGCTAGCCCTGCTGAGCGCGCGCGAAGACGACCAGGGCGCGACCGCCTACACCATCCTGTTCTTGTTGTGTCTGGCCGTCGCGTGCCTGCGGTTCAGCGACCTGGGCAGGGGCGCGGGCGCCAGCCTCGGGCGTGACGCGCTGCGCGCTGTGTGCTGGCGCTCGAAAGGCAAACCTGCGCCGGTGCCCTGGGCCGCTTTGCGGGTGACTTGGACCGGCTTTGACTGGGGCAAGCGTTTCTTCAGCCATGCCAGCGGGATCCTCCCGCAAAGCGCAGACGCCGCGAGGGACTGGCTCTGGCCGTCGATGGCGTTAGCGAGCGGTGCCTCGGTAGCTATGCCAACTGCCTGGTGGCGATGGCAGCCGTGCACCGCCTGGCAGGGCGCGCAGCCCACTACACGCTGCGCAGCCCACGTTTCTTCATTTGCGGCGTAGCAGGCCAGGCCGGCTTCGCCATCGAAGAGAGGCGCAGCATGGGCCGATGGGGCCCCGCCAGCGGCATGCCCGTCCGCTACGACCAGAGCCGCTGCTGCGCCGAGCTTGTTGCAAAGGAACGAATGCGGCAAAAACTTCGGGGCGGCCTCCGCCCGGGCGGCGACTGCGAGTTGCCGACGGTGGACGAGGTGGCGACAGAGCTAAGAGCGAGAGCGCACGCAGCAAAGCAGCGGGCAGCGGCTCACGCACCCGGGGCCCAGGCTCCGCAACCGCCAGAGCTGCCGCCGGTCCGCGTGCTGATCAACCACAAGACAGGCGTGCTGCGCAAGGACCCGCCGCGCAAACAGGTACGGGATCCAACCTTGCCTCGCTGCGAACAGGCGGCGGAGGACCAGTCAAATTTGCATCTGCACCCGCGCTGCGACAGGTGTTTCAGGACCAGCAGCGTGGAGAGACCAGAATGGGCAGACCTGGGCGCACCGCGCTCATCGCGCAGCAGCGCCGCATCTAGCAGCGGCAGCCCTTCCAGGAGCTCGTCTGGGTCTCGCGCGACAGCGCAGCCAGACCCATGATTTCGCGCAGCCAAGATTCAGCGCGCCCGCGTGGCGATGACCAGGCGGTTACCGAGAAGAGAAAAAAACGCAAGAATAAGAGGGGCCACAAAAAAAACTGAGTCATCTCGTGCAGTATGAAATTTGAAACTATGAGTAAAAAGGAGGAGCGTGGCTCAAGCCGGGCCTTCTTGAGACTCGCTGCCACCGCTGGACGCAGATCTTAAAGCTGATCAGAGGCATGCCCCCTTACAGGGGCAACAATGGCTCCCAGCGACGGTTCGCGCGGATACTCTGGCAGCACCGCGAGGGAAGACCATCGCTCGAGAAAAATGAAGGGAGGGGCCCGGCTGAAGCCTGGCCTGTTTGCGCCTCCCTGAGGCGCGCTGTGCCACGGCTGGGCGCACATCTTAAAACTGATCAGGATGCGCCCCTTCCGGGCAGCGACGAGCTGCGGCGCCGATCCGTCTCCCCGTGAGAGAGATTCCGCCGATCCGTCTCCCCGTGAGGGGCGCGTGGCGCTCTTCTTCTTCTCCTCTCTCCCGCTGGGCGCAGATCTTAAAGCTGATCAGAGGCATGCTCCCTCACAGGGGCAACAGTGGCTTTCAGTAAAGGTTCGCGCGGATGCCCGCCAGCGCCGCGAGGGGGAACCGCTGCTCGCAATATAACAACAAGTGAAGGGAGGGGCCCGGCTGAAGCCTGGCCTGTTTGCGCCTCCCTGAGGCGCGCTGTTGCCGCGGCTGGGCGCAGGCCTCAAAGCTGATCAGGAGGCTCCCCCTTCCCGAGCAGCAGCGACCTTCAGCGTCGATCCGTCCTCCCGACGAGAGTTTCCGCCGGCGGTGCGAGGGGCGACTGGCGCTCGATATGTTGTTGTGCGTGCTTTTCCTCCAGTGTGTCACGCCTCGTCGGGTTGCGGCCGCTGTTTGCCTGTCGTTAAAGCAGTAATTATACGCCGGGCAGGCCCGGCCAGTGCGCGCAACGCGCAGCGGCAGCATGCGGGGGGCATGGGCAAGCGTCACACAGCACAGGCTCAAGAGCGAACGCCGCGAGCTGCAGCCAGGGCCCCGTCTGCCCCCCCCCGCTGGGGCGATGCCCGTCTCCTACAGCGCAGAGGTCGCCGAGGCCAGGCCCACCGAGCTGCGCGACGTGCTGGCGGACAACGACGCCCCCGAGAACGTCGCCAAGTTTCTCGAGGACAAGAACATCGTCAAGCTCGGCGCCTTCGCCGACTTGGCGGATTCAAAGTCCAACGCCGTGCGAGTCGTCGGCCAACCAGCGGGATTAAATCCTAGCGATAGCATCGCGCGCCAGCCGTTGAAGTCGGCGCGGCGGCGGGCGGAGGCCGAGGCGAAGGCCAAGCTGGAGGCCGCAGCCGCAGGCGACAGCGCCGAGAAGGACATATCTCTGGGCACAGAGCAGCGCGAGGGCTTGGATGCGCAGGTAAAGGAGTACTACCACTTCGTCTGGCCTGCGCAGTGGCTCCTGGCCAACGGGCTCATGGGCAAGCTCGAGCGGATGTGCGAGAAACACGCGGACTTCGTGCCCCGCCTCGAGGTGGGCGTCAAGGGCGTCCTCGAGAAGGAGGTCGACCCGCTGTTCAATATGTTCTTTTCCAAGCAGGGCGGGGCGCAGGCCCAAGCCGAGAGCGCCCGCGCGCCGGCTCAGGGCTTGACCAAGTTCCGGGAGCGGCACTTCCAGCTGATGATCGCTTACAACCAGGCGGCCGCCCCCGAGTTCGAGAACGCGTCGCTCAACGTCCTGCTCGAGTGCCAGTGGCTCATGGAGAAGATCATGGGCGTCAAGTGGTCGCCGGAGATCGCGCGCGAATTCCTCCCGGCCGACTTCCGCATGCGCACCAAGTGGATGTTGAGCTGGCAGCGGAGGGGGTTCACGACTTTCATGGGCGTGATTGTCCACCGCCGCGGCCAGAGCGCTTACTTGTTCTCAGACGCCGGGGGCAGGGAGCGGCCCAGGAGCGAGTCGCAGCCGCGAGGGCGCGCCCGCAGCCGCGGCCAGGGCGCCCAGACTCCCCGAGACGAGCAGCCGCGCAAGGCTTCAAAGCCAGGCGGCGCCGCCGGGGCCAGCCGGCCCCCTGCCTTCACCAAGGAGAACTGGCCGGGACTTGAGCGCACGAACAAGAAGACTGGGCAGCCCCGGTGCCCGTTCTACAACAAGGCCACGGGCTGCCGGAAGGGCGCGGCGCACCCAGACTCACATGAGTGTGACTACCCTGGGTGCGGCGCCAAACACTGCAGGGCCAAGAACCACCGCGCGGGCCCGCAGTGAACTGCGGAGCCCGGCCCCAGACGCTACAATGGGGCCGCGGCGGGCGGGCCAGACTTGCCCTGCCCATGCGTGGAGTCTAATGACCGCCTCGGTGACCACCCAGGCCGGAAACATTCCGCGCAAGGTGCCAGGGCCCGCTTGTAGGGAGCGTTCAGCGACAGCCCACAGGCAGGCGTCGTTGAGCAGCCCAGCAGGCGCCGACTGAGGGCCCGGATCGGGCGCGCGCTGGCGCTTGGCGAGCAGCCGCGTGGCAGATGCTTCGAGCCGCTTATCCAGCGAGGATGCGGACCCGAGGCGTTCCTCGAGCAGTTGCCTCGTCTGCAGCACCCGGCTGTTGCTCCCCCGCCGATGCCTGCCGCGTGGATGCAGGCCGCCAGCAGTATGTTGGGCCACCTGGATGATTTACACAGCTGGCGAGAGACGCAGATGCAGCCCGTCCGTGATGCTGCTCGGCGCATGAGAGGCATCAGGGAGCAGCATGCCGAAAAGCTACACCCCGACGTCCACAAAGTAATCGGCCACCTGCATTTACCCCTCCTGGAGTGGATGGTGGAACACGCCAAGTACAGCGGCACCGATTACGTCGCCCGGCTGATGCGCGGCAAGCCTTGCTTGGGAGAGATCCCGCCGAGCGGCGTGTTCAGCGAGGACCGCAACAGGGGCGCAATTGCGATCGAAGATTGGATTGCGTGTCCGCGAGAGCGGAACGAACGCGTGATCCGAGGCGTGCGAAGTTCGGGGGGCAGTTCGCTCGACCAGAAGGCGCGGGGCCAAAAAACAACCCTAGCTGAGCTTTCGATGGGGTACTGCGAAGGGCCAGGCGAGCTTGCAGAACTTGACCTGGATAGGACATACCTGATTCCCCGGTGGCCCAAGTGGGAGCTCAAGGAGGGCGGCGCGTGGAAGTGTCGTAACATTTCTGATTGGAAAGCATCTGGGGGAAACGACACCGTCGCGCTGTGCGAGAAGTATTCTCCTGAAAATTTATCATCGGCGCACGCGGTGGTGCGCGTCCTCAGAGAAGCCCTCCCCAGCAACGTGCGCCTCCAAGGCTTCCGCATCGACTGGGAGATGGGGTTCTGGCAAGACCCGCTATGGCCAGGACATGCTCCATGCCATTACGAACTGGTGTGGAATCCCCAACTTGAGCGGGTCCAGTGGGCGAGGCCGCTGGGGGGGATTTTCGGCAACAAAGCTGCCCAGACGAACTTCGTCGAACATCCACATTTCATATGTTATTTCGTGAGAGTGTGCTTGGGCATTTTGCTTTGCCATTACTCTGATGACATGTGGGACATCGAGCCGGAACATACCGCCAAGCACTCCCATGCTCTCGTGTTGGAGATAATACGCGTTTTTAAACACACTTTTACACACCCCCTGTAAACGTTCTGATAGCCGCCTCAACTGCAAATTAGGAGGAGGAGTAGCGCAGTCTCTCTCGTGCTTGTCCCTCCTCTCCTGGCGCAAAGTTTCGGCTCGAGGCGTGGGTTTCGCGGGCGAGGCCCGCGCTCGAGCCTTCAGAGAGGGGTAGCTTCCAGCCCCAGCTCGCCCCGAGCCCGCCAGGCTCGGTGGCCGCCACGACGCCGGCCATCGGGCGCCCCGGCTGGCTGCTGGTGACCGCGCTCGCCCTCTGCGAGCTGGACGGGCTGCTGGAGGTCTTCGGCGGGCGCCAGCAGGAGACCGAGGATATCCTCATCGAGCCCCTCGACCTCGGAGGAGGCGCCGAGTGGCGGGGGTCACCAGCGGGTTTCATGGCGCCGTGGAGCAGGTGGAACCGCGTCTACGTCCAGGCGCAGGGGAGGAGCACGGGGGTGGTGATGCTGCTGGTCAGTCGGGTCGGTCCAGGGACCTCGTTGGTTTGGACCGCGATCGACCCCGCGAAGCGGGTGCAGATCATCAACCTGCGGGACAAGGCGCGGATGCTGCCGCGCCCGAAGAAGGGAGTGACCTGGACCGAGCACCCAGGCCTGAATGAGAAGGAGAGGGAGCAGGCGATCATCGCCGCGGAGCGGCTCATTGTGCGACATGAGCTGGGACAGGCTGGTGCTGAGAGTGCCAAGGCCAACCTGGCGAAGGGCAAGAAGGCGAGCTCGAAGGCCAAGGTGGCGTCCTGGTTCGGCAAGGGCCTCGTGACCACCGTGGTGACGGCGTGGGCCCACAAGACGTGGGGTGGTGCTGCAGCGGTGTTCTTTGTGGGCTGGAGGTTGTGGCGTTGGCTGCATCTCGGGTCCTTCTTCGCCGCAGGGTACCACACCGTCTCGGCGGGGATGCAGGCGATCGAGGACCTGGACAACTTCCGCGAGTTCCTGGGGGAGCTGTACGAATCGGGCGACCTCGAGCTGTGCGCGGCATACCTGGGCTGCGTTCTCATCGTGATCTACGGGATCTGGACATGCGGGTGCTCGTGCCGAAGGGAGGTCGACTCGGACAGCGACTCGGGCTCGGACTCGGACGGCGGGTCGGTGCACGCTGGTGATGACGTGAGTGACGTGAGTGGCGACGAGCGGGACACCAAGACCCTGTTCGCGGAGTTGGCTCGCGGTCAGTCTGACTTGGCCGACGCTGTGGGTATGCTGAAGTCGAGGCTGGATGTCGGGGGCGGAGCGGGAGCAGGACCTGCCTGCGGCAGTGGGGCTCTGGCGTCGGAGCCAGGCCCGCCTCCCCCGCCCCCCGCGGGGCCGCCGCCGACCAGAGGAGACGACCCCAGCTCGGCCGAGGTGGATGCGTTCATCAAGAAGCTGACGGAGCACGAGGAGCTGGTGCAGCGGGACTCGGGCTTGAGCACCCGAGCGCAGGCAGGGTCGCCTACGCCGAGCTCGAGTGCAGCGTCCTGGGAGAAGGTTGGAGACCTGGGCGAGCTCGAGGACCCCCTGAAGGACCAGATCGTGCAGCTGAAGGAGGAGTCGAAGAACCCAAAGGAGAGCTTGCTGGCGACTTTGGAGAAGTATCGCCGCGTGGCGGGCTCCCCCGTCGGGGGGATCAGGGCCCGCGTGGCGCCGACAGTGCTGGCGAGGCTCTACAAGGGCGGACGGAGCGCACGCGTGGAGACGCAGGAGTGGCTCCGCTCCAAGGAGCTGCAGGGCGCGGGCATCGCGCAGGAGCTGAACATGCTGGCCCTGGTCCTTGACAGGATGATGAGCCAGGGGCAGTACGACGAGCTGATCAACTCGCAGGCCGCGGAGGTGACCTGCCTGCGCCTGTACTCGATCTGGAAGGCCTACGAGCGGGTGCAGTGCAAGAGCGACTGGCTGAGGCCCAAGGCGCAGCACGGCGGCAAGTGGCGCTCCAAGGTCGACTGGAGTCTGGCGGAGGAGTACCTGCGCCTCGACGGGGACCCCAACAGCGAGAACAGGGGGGCCGATGACGAGGTGCTGGAGAAGCTCAGGCGGCGGGCGATCCTCAGCAAGCACCTGGGTGAGGTGCGCTCGGGGCAGCCTGCCGGCGAGGACGAATAGGTTGCGGCCGGAGCTATCGTGGTGTGCTCTGGCCAAGGCCTGAGGGGTCAATCCCCTCTACCACGGCCGCGGCGGCGAGCCGCTTTCGTGCCGAGCTTCTTGCTGGACACGTCTTTCGGGTGGTGGTGCTACATCGGGCTGGTGAGCTTCCTGACGATCGGCTGTGGGGTCTTCCACGGCGGCGTCGGAGCGTCGAGGCCTTTCTTGTACTTGGGGCCTCGCGCCGTTCTGTGGCGAGCAGGTTTTCCCGTACGTCGGAGCGCAGGTCGCTCGGTGGTCCCAGATGCCTACTGGGGAGAAGGAGTTGAGAGAGAGGGATCCCTTGAGGAGTCTGCCTGGGCTCCCATTCCCACTACAGTCGAGGAGGTCGAGTTCGAGCCTGTCCGAGAAGGAGCTGAGGACAACCTGGCATCGGACTTCGAGGACGATAGCGGCGATCAGGAGTATGGCGACGGGCTGTTCGAATGGTTGGATACATCCATCGACCCTGACGGACAAGCAGACGTGCCAGACGGACTGGAGTGCGAGTACGCCGCTACAGAAAAGACTGGTGACGGAAGCCTGGGACCTTCACGCCGCGAGGGCGAAGTGGGGGACCATCAACGACGGCAGGGCGGCATTGAGCCGCTTGGCAGGAGGAAGCCCGACGGAGTATTTTGCGAAGGGGGCGAGGCCTACGACGTCTACGGCATCGAAGGCTTCACCGCAGTTGAGGAAGGGCGACCTGTGCCCTCTGAGGGCGGAGCAGGTGTCTCTCCCAGCGCCGGGGACCCAGAGTTTGGAGGTGGCGGCGATCTCGAGTCTCGCTGGGCGGTACCTCACAGAGGCCGGCCAGCTGATGATCAAGGGCTCGGGGGAAGTCGACTGGGAGAAGTACGAGGCGACAAAGAGCTACTCGGACCCGGCGTGGCGGAGCAAGAAGGAGCGCTTGGCACTTGCCCTGCGGATGGCGCAGGCTGGAATGATAACATATGTGACGAAGGTGCGCGAACATGTCGGGCTGTTCACGGTGGCGAAGGACTTCGACCCCAAGACTGGTGGCATTGTGAAGTCGCGGCTGATCTGGGACTGCCGAAGAGTCAACCTGCTCTTCGTGGATCCCCCGTGGGTGCCTTTGGGCAGCCCCGCGGGCCTCGCGCTCCTAGAGCTGGACGAGGCGGTGCTGCGTGGGCGGCGGCTCTTCTCCTTCCAGGGCGACGTGCCGGACTGGTTCTATCGGTTGCACTGGGGTTCGTTTTTGGCGGAGTATTTTGTGGTGGAGGATGTCTCGCCGCAGGAGCTGTACCAGTACGGGATGGAGCAGGGTGTGGCTTTGCCGAAGCCGCGCGAGGAGGACGTTGGTATTGGGGCTTCGAGTTTGGTCATGGGCTCAGCGTGGGCGGTGTTCTTGGCCCACAGCTGCCTGGAGGCAAGCTTCGAGTCCCTGAAGGCCCCCAGCTTGACTTACGGCAAGCCCACCCCGTCGTTTGGCCTATCGGAGGAGGAGGCGATCAGGTTCCTGCTGATGTTGTACATCGACGACTACATCGGCTTCACCCTCGAGGGCGAGGACGGCGAGCAGAAGATCCTGGAGGACAAGGAGATGATCAAGGAGCTTCTGAACGGCAAGGGGCTCGCAGTGCACAAGGAGGCCTGGGGCGAAGGGATGGAGAACGGCCTGGGCCTGTGCATCGCCGCCACGAGGCCCTACACGCTGAGGATCCAGCCGAAGAAGATGGAGCAGGTCGTGCTGGCTACCGAGGCGGCGGTGTTGGAAGTGGCTCTCAGACCTTCGGCGGTGGCTTCTCTGGTCGGGCACTGGACCTGGACCATGATGGTCTTCCGCCCCTCGTTTGCGATCCTGGACGCGACCTACAGGTGGCTGAGGGAGTTCGACGAGGAGGAGAGTGTTGTGCCGCACCGCTTGCCCGAGGAGGTCAGGAGCGAGTTGAGGGCCGTCGCGTCCCTCTCGGTCTACATGGAGTCGAACCTGGAGATGGGCTGGTGGCCGAGAGCATACATGACGGATGCGTCCAACGAAGGCTTCGGCGCCCTGGCCTGCGACTGCACGGAGGAGGACGTCCGACGAGAAGCTGCCCGTGGAGATGGGGGAGCTTGGGGACCCCTGACCGAGCAGAGCTACACCGAGATCGAGCGAGCGCAGGAGGCGATCGGCGAGGAGGAGGACCTCCCGGCCGCTCCCACTACGGGGCGACCTGGGGTGTTGGAGCTCTTCGCGGGGAGCTCTCGCTTGCTGGAGTCGATCAGGGAGATGACCGACTCGTGGGGCGAGGCCTGGGACGTCCAGCGGGGCGTGGAGTTCGACGTACTGGTCACAGAGAACTTGGAGCTGTTGTTACGGAGAGTGAGGACGGGCTGGTTCTGGTGGGTGCATGTTGCCCCCCCGTGCGCGACGTTTTCGAGAGCAAGGCAGCCGCCGCTGAGGTCGAGCGATCACCCGTGGGGGCTGCCGGACTGCACGGAGACGGACCAGGCCAAGATAGACGAAGGGAACGCTTTGGCTTTGATAGCAGTAGAGGTGGTCAAGATCTGCCTACGCCTTGGCATTGGATTCACCCTCGAGAACCCCAGGACCAGCATGATATGGGCGTTCGCGCCAATGACCGCGCTCTTGGATCTCGAGGGGGTGTTCCGTGTGGAGGTGGATTACTGCATGTATGGCGAAGAATGGAGGAAGCCAACTACGTTCATCACCAACGTGAAGAAGATGGCGACGCTACAGCGGGTGTGCTTGCGCCCCGCGAGCCGATGCAGTCGGACTGGCCGTGCTCACCGAGAACTACGAGGACGATCACCAGGTGGACTACGGTGGACTCAGGTGGCATGTGCTTACCCGCTGGAGTTGTGCAGGGCCTACGCGTCCACTCTGCAGGAGCTCGAGCCGCACTGGGACTCTATACCAGCGGGGGCCCGGCTTCGCCTGCAGGGCGATCGCGGGCGCGTCGTGCGAGCGACTGGGCCGGCCCTGCCTCTGCTGGGCCATTGGCTGGAGAAGAAGTGGCACGTGCTGTTTCAGGGACGTTGGTCTCACGTAGAGCACAACAATGTCTTGGAGCTGCGTACGGTGGTGGCGGTGCTCCGACACCTCAGTCGCACGTCCCAGAGCTGGAACCACCGCGTGCTGTTCTTCACCGACTCGTTGGTGAGCCTGGGCCTTCTCAAGAAGGGGCGCTCGTCTGCCAAGGACCTCTTGCACCTGGCGAGGATCGGCGGCATCATCCAGATGGTTTGCAGGATCCGCGGGTACTTCAGGTGGGTGCCGAGCGAGCTCAACCTGGCAGACGGCCCCTCGAGAGGTCAAGGCATAGGCGCGGCGGAGGACACCGTGGCGGGCCACGTGGGCCGTGGGGTGCCGAAGGAGCTACTTCAGCGGCTGCAAGATCGGGCCCGACGAGGACCGCCTGGAGCTTCGCATTTGTGATGGCCATGAGCGGGCTGGCGCTGTGCGAAGCGATGCCGCGGCGTGGGGTGGACGGCCCCGCTACGGCCTCTGCAAAGCCCCCCCCTCTGGCCAAGAGGGGCGCTCGGGCCTGGGAGCAGGCCCCGAGTGACAAGCTGCACCACAATGTGAGGCTCGTGGTGCACGCGGTGGACGACGCCACGAATCAGATCTACGAGAAGGAAGTGAGGACCTTCCTCCTGGACGTGAAGCGGCACGGGCTCCCCTTCTCCACTTACGAGGAAAGGGATGCGGCGCTTGGCGGGTACATATCGGACATGTGCTACGTGATGCAGTTGCCCTTCGGCAGGGCGTCAGCGTTGTTCAATGGTTTCATGCACATCTTCGAGGACCACCGCAATCGGCTCCCCGTCGCGGCCAGGGCGCTGAAGTCCTGGTCTAGGATGGGCTTCCAGAAGGAGGGGGCGCCGGTGCCGTTCGAGGCGGTGGGGTGCGTGCTCTACGACCTCTTTGAGCACGGCCAGCTGTACGAGGGGGCCGCGGTGCTGCTGCAGCTGGACGGCTGGCTGAGGGAGCAGGACTGGGGCCTCCTCAGGAAGACGGACGTGGCGGTGGGCCCCGACGGGGAGGTCGGGCTCACCTTGGGCCGCAGAGAGCGGGGCGAGAAGGTGAAGACGGGAGCGAACCAGGGCGTCGTGGTCTCGTGGCAGGTGACGAAGGCCATCCTACGGGCGATTGGCAAGGGCGCAGCACCACGGGACCTCCTCTTCCCGATCTCGCAGGACAAGTACAGGAAGGCGTGGGGGCAGGCCTTCGACAGGGCGGGCCTGGCGGACTTCGGCCCCCCGCACTCGCTGAGGCACGCGGGGGCAGCGGCCTACATCGCCGCTGGCGGCTCGCTGGAGGCGGCGCGCCGGAAGGGCCGCTGGCAGACCGCGTCGGCCCTTCAGCGCTACACGAAAGTGCGCGTGCTGATCGAGCAGCGGAGCCGGCTCACCCCCGCGCAGCTTGAGCGGGGGAGGGCCTTCTGGCGCAGGCCCGCCCAGCAGATCTCAGAGGCCATCTACCGCTCCGACGCTGTGCTGGCCCCGCTGGCGCGGGACATGGTGCACGAGCTCGTGGCAGCCAAGAACGACGAGGTCGTGCTGCCGCAGCTGGAGAGTATGGCGGACGGAGGCGCGGAGCCCACCAGCCGCCCATCCACTGCTGGCCGTAGCAGGGCCAGACGGCAATGAGCAGGCCAGCCTTTTGCGGCCCCCACTCTCATTTCGGGCCCCGCCTTTTGCGGGGGCCATATCTTTTGATATGAATGCAGGAGCCTCGAGATTTGGGCGCGTGCACCCTGTCCTCCACTTGTCTTCCTTGAACATTTGATAGATATGGGGTAAATATAAAGCAGGTTTTTTGGTGGGTGAGAGCGACACAAATTATATCCCTTTCCCCCCCTCCCGAATGTGTGCCGCGCTCGTGTCTAGCTGTGGCTGGAAGCGTGAAGGCACAAGTGCCAGTCTAGTGATGACGGGACTGGGGGTTTCGCCGCGAGGCTTTTTGGCCCGACCGTGGGCCGAGGCACGGTCAGGTACCTCTCGGCCTTTTATGTTTCGGGCCTCACACGGGGCCCCGCCGCTGCGAACAGATACTTTCGGAGGGTGCCCCCTCCTCTCGAGCCGCTCGCTGTCCTGTGGGGTTGTCTCTCCCGCTGCTGCGTCGGATATTCTGTGGGGCCTCTTTTGATTAGGGTTGTCGCTCTACCCCCGCCTGCCCCCAGCACTCTAAAATCAAGATTTTATGGTATAGGCACGCTCCGAGTTAACATACATTCAAGCCTGGCTCTCGAGTGTGGGTGCTGTGTAAATACGCGTTTTTAAACACACTTTTACACGCCCCCTGTAAACGTTCAGATAGCCGCCTCAACTGCAAATTAGGAGGAGGAGTAGCGCAGTCTCTCTCGTGCTTGTCCCTCCTCTCCTGGCGCAAAGTTTCGGCTCCCAACCCTGCCCACCCTTGGGCTTGTATGAGCTCGGGGGTTTCGCCGCGAGGCTTTTTGGCCCGACCGTGGGCCGAGGCACGGTCAGGTACCTCTCGGCCCTTTTATGTTTCGGGCCTCACACGGGGCCCCGCCGCTGCGAACAGATACTTTCGGAGGGTGCCCCCTCCTCTCGAGCCGCTCGCTGTCCTGTGGGGTTGTCTCTCCCGCTGCTGCGTCGGATATTCTGTGGGGCCTCTTTTGATTAGGGTTGTCGCTCTACCCCCGCCTGCCCCCAGCACTCTAAAATCAAGATTTTATGGTATAGGCACGCTCCGAGTTAACATATATTCAAGCCTGGCTCTCGAGTGTGGGTGCTGTGTAAATGGACCTTATCGGCTGGAGGTGCGACAAGCAAGAGCAAACCGCCCAGCGAGCACCTTCGCCTACTTGGCGTGGAGCACCGGTTGGGCCTTGAGGCGACAGTTTGGCTCTGCGAGGCCAAAATTGACAAGCTGCTATCTCAGATCCGCGCCCGCCGAGCTACAGGGGGGGTGACAGCAGCAGACGCCTCGACGCTGCACGGCTCGTTCAACTGGGTGCGCTCGAGCCTCTGGGGCCGGTGTGGGGCAGCAGTGCTGGCGCCGCTGCGAGCCCGTCAGAGGAGCGGAAACTTCTTCGGAGTCAACAGCGCCATGCTCGCCATGTTCAGGTGGCTCGAAGAAGCGCTCGTCCATGAAAATCGGCGCCGTGTTCTGTGCGACATATCCTGCTTGCCCCTAGTCGCCACCATCAGCGACGGGGAGGGTTCGGGCAATGTCGCCGTGGCAATGTGGCAACCAGCAGAGTCAGCCGAACGCCCCCGCATCACTGCGACGAGGGTCCCAGAGAACGCGCTGGCGAAGTGGGCGCAGCATGCCTCCAACACCATAGCTCCAATCGAGGGTGTGGGGCCACTGCTTGCCTTAGCCGCGTGGCCAGGCCTGGAGCATCGACTCTGGGTCCACTTCATAGACAACGCGGGCGCCATGCACGCGCTGATCAAAGGCAACAGCGTGAACGCAGATCTGAACAACGTGAGGCGCGCCACGTGGAAGATTGTCCACCGGCGACGACTGCATTTGTGGGTCGAGTATGTCAATGCCCACGACAACCCGGTGGACAAGGCCAGTCGAGGGTGCACGGGCGACCTCTACGACCAAGGCTGGGTGTGGGACCCGCCGGGCGATCTATCACATTTTTTGCGAGCCGCCATGGGACCTGCACTTCGTCCCCAGGCAGCAGCACGACAGAATATATGTCTTTGCCATTGTATAAAAAGAGGAACAGGCATCGTCCTGAGAGCACAACCCTGCGCGAATGCTTGCGTAACGCCGCGTAAGAATCGCGTAAGGTCAGGCCACTCGGCCGTTCCTGAGGAGTCGTAGCCCTATCACTAACTACGGGCACAGCTGTCTTGACAACAACACCCTGCGTAAATGCCCGCGCAGTGCCGCGTTAACAAACCCCCTGAGGTCAAGCCGCGCGGCCCTTCTCCGCAAGATTCTGGAATGAACCCTCCCTCCAGGCTCCTTCATTACAGGCCCCTACACCAGTTCATGTTTCCACTGAGGGAGCTACCTCGTTGGAAGGCGCCGGTTGGAAGGCCCTGAAGCATGCCAAAACATTATTTTCGGAAATCCAAAACCACGGGTAAATTTGACTGATTCGTCTTGGCGATCCTGGCTCGTGCCAGAATGCTTTTTCTTGGGACTTCAGCACCGCGAGCCAACGTAAGTGTTGCGCCCTCATAATCCTGAGTCTCTCCAAAACACAATGACAACAGCATGTTGAAAAACATGTTGAAAACGACCCGCCCTCAATATGTGAAAGTCTTGCAATTCTTTAGAACGAATGTGTTCGGCGCTAAGGCGAGAGCCACATTTTGAAAACGACCCGCCCTCCATTTGTGAAACTGTTGCCACTGTTTAAGATTCAGGGTCATCATAAAATGTGAGGAAGTCTCAAGCGAAACGCCCAGCCCGCCCTTTTCACCAGCCTCGGAGTGCGACTGTGAGAAGTTATTCGCAAGGAAAAGGAAAGGTGCCAGATGCGGGAGGAGGCGAAGGAGGAGGAGGAGGAGGAGGCGGAGGAGGAGGAGGAGGAGGAGGAGGAGGAGGAGGAGGAGGAGTTGGAGGCGCCTCTGGCGCGGTCGCTGCCGTCCTGCGGGCGGGGCGCGGCCAGTACAGCCAGGAGTCGCTCTGGAGCAGACGGTCCTTCACCGGGCGGGGCCATGAGAAGGCCGCGGCGCCCGAGACATCCTCCAGAGCCGCCAGAACTAGGAGATTCTCGATCTATCCTCGGCCGATTTTATCCTCGTCCTGGCTTCGTCTTGCCTGATGGGGGAACGGGTCGTGAGGTTGGAGGCCGTTCTTTCGGGCTCTCGGGGCCCTCCGCGGCCCCCCCCCGGGCTGTCGGCAGTCGGCTCAGGACGAGCAGTCGGTGCTAAGCGAAGGGCCCGTGGGATCCAGGACCCGTCTCCCTCGGGACCCGCCCCCTTCATGCCAACAGGAGGCCGCGGCCGAGTACGCGGGCATCGGACTGGACGAGGGCAATTTCTGGCTGATCTACCACCACGCGGAGGCGGCCATTCGGAGGTCTCTCGGGCCGGGCCTGGCGTCCTCGAGCGCCATCGACTGGGGCTGCGGCGCTGGCAAGTCGACCAGGTGGCTGAAGCACGCGCTCGGCATGGGCAAGGTGATCGGCGCCGATTCCAGCGAGGAGATGCTGGCCCGCGCACGCCTGGACGATCCAGAGGGCACGTTCGTGTTGGCCGAGGACGGGCGATGCCCAGTGCCCGCAGAGGCGTTCGACCTGGTGCTGTCCATGTGCGTTCTGGTGGAGATCCCTTCCCTGGCCGGCCTCGAGGCGTACGCGGCCGAGGCAGGGCGGCTGCTGCGCCCCGGCGGCGTGGCGGTGGCGGTGGCCGCCACCGAGGAGAGCCGCGACCCCGCCAACGAGTTCCTGTCGTTCCGCTACCTGCCCGCGAGCCCCTCCGACCCCCGCAACCAGGCCCTGCGCCCCGGCGACCGCGTGGTGAACCGGGCCAGGTGCGGCCTCTGCCTGGAGGACTAGCGGGGGCGCCTGCCCGGCGGGTCGCCCGCCGGCCCCCCTGCCGTTTGGAGGAGGAGGAGGAGGAGGAGGAGGAGGAGGAGGAGGAGGAGGAGGAGGAGGAGGAGGACATCCGCATAGAAGGAGCTGTGCGTGCGACTAGCAAAACCCCCTTCGATTAGATTGTGCCGCAGACCCAGACTTCTCATGGGGGCCGCATGGGGGCATGCCCCGAAGCTTCAAGGGACGAACTCCGAGATGGCCCCGTAAGAGAGGCTCGCTACCTTGTGAGTACGAGTCCCTACGGGTCAGTGCGGGGGGAGCAGCTGTTGGCCCTCTCGCGTGCCCATGATCATGGGGACGCGCTGGGCGAGCAGGGCTCCCATGCGAGGGGGGAGAACGACGACACGACCTCACTCGAAACAAGGAGAGGAGGAGGGGATGCAGGAGGCCCTTGCGTGCCAAGCTTTGCTGGGGGGCCTAAATGCATTATGCCTACGACTTGCTGTTCTTCCATTCCTGGCAGTTTTTTTTTGTTCTCTCTCTCTCTCTCTTTCTCTTTAGGCTCACTTCTCTTCCTGGGCGTGCTGGCCGTTGGTTGTCCCATGCAATGTCGTGTCTGTACCCTGATGCTTTGCAGTAGTATTCCAATTGTACTTCGACGAACCCCGTCGGTTCGGCGTGCAAGTATGGGCGAACATATATATATATATATAGTCGTCACGGCGTGTAAAAGGGTGGGTTTTATCCCCCAGTCTGTCAGCCGTCCGTATCACTGTCGATTCAAATGAGGAGGGGCCCTTAGGGATGCGCTCCAGTGGCCTTTGTGGTTGTCTCATTTTTCACTCGTCGTCCCCTGCAGTAGTGTACCTGTCGGCACTCCCAACAATAAATTTCCATGACGTTATCTTCGCAAGCTCTCCCCTAAGGGTCCTAACGCCGAGATGTCCCCGCTAATGATGGTCTCTCTGAGCCAGCCGGTCTCGCCTGCGTAAAGTCACACTCCGAGATATCCCCGCTAGTGCTCCTTTTGGCGCTGCCAGTGGGCTCTCTCACACGCGGCCGTTGGAGCTGGCCGCTGCACCTGATTTGGCGCACTTTTCGAAGATCTCTGTGCCGTCCACCGGGGTCTTCGTGCTGTCGCGGAGCTGCTGACGTTCTTTGAGCCTCTCGACCTCCTCCTGATCGAGATTCGTCTCATCCTTCATCTCCTTCATGGTTGCCTTAATGACGTTGTGTCGGTTCTCCGCGTCGTTCTTAGAGATCCTCAGCGCCAGGTCGCACCAGCTGCGCGTAGACAAGAACCTCCTTCTTGCAGTTACCCACATGTCGACTGGGTACTTTGCGATCAGCGCACAACCCCCGACCTGGCGCGTGATCGGGAAGGACGGTGGGATCAGCTCGTACAGCTCCTCTGGGCTCATTTGCTGGGCCGCGTCGTAGAATGTGTAGTGGTTCCCTTTGGTGGCGTCGTCAAGTTTCTGCGGCAGTCGTTCTGCTACAGACGCTTCCCACTTGTCTCCCACTTTGAGCTCCACCATCATAGATGACCCACGCTTGTACGGGTGGAGCTTTTCCTTGCACCCGATGTCTGGCCACTTCTCGGAGTCCTCGCCGAAGTCCTTCTTCATCTTGTCCACCCAGTCTTTCATGAGCTCGTCTTCGGGGAAGCTCGCCTGTGTCGTCACCTGCTGTTTCCAGTCCACTGTGCACCAGAACTTCACTGATCTCCCCTCGAGCTGGGCCTGGGGCCCCTCGACCCCAGCTTGTTGGGGAAGGCCAGTCCGCACGAGCAGGCGCAGTCCTCTTTTGCGGCCCATCCTGTGCTCCTCCGGCGCACGCTGAGCAGCTGCATGTTATCGCCCCACTTGTCCACGAAGTCGAGCGCCTTGAGACACTGTGTTTGTCCCGTTCCCATGTTCTCTGCCGTCTTGTAGTCGCCCTTCTCGTGCAGCTCCTTATCCTTCCCTTCTAGCTCCTGCTTGGTTGCCTTCAGCGCCTCCTCGTCATTTACGTCCATGGCCATGTACTTGTTCAGCATGATGTCGCACTCTCCTGCGCAGCTTAGTGCATCCGCCATGTGTTCTCCTGCTTTGCTGAAGGCCGCGAAGATACTCCCGTTCTTCTTGATGCCCTCCAACAGTGTCGTTGACATCTCCTTGGCCTTTTCGATGACTGTGTTGTTCCTCTGGTTGCGTGACTTCTTTTTAGATCCTTCCTCAGCTTCTATGATCGCCTTCGCTGCCTGCATCTTCCCCAAGGATTGAGCTGCCCACGCGATGCTTTTCGCTTTCCTCTTCTGCTCGCGGCACACTTGCTCCTTCGTGACGTACTGGTCTCCTTCATGGCGCAGTTCTCCTCGTCACTCCACTCGGTCCACTCCTCCTGCCTGGGCGCCAGCTCGCAGTCGATGCACAATCTCTTCCACTGACTTCCTTTTCCTCCTTGGTCTTTTTCATGTCCTGGTTCGTTCTTGGTGTGCTCCCTGCGGCTTTCGATCATCTTGTAGTGCCCGAGCCCTTTGCCGCATTGGCCACATGGCCAAAGCTTGTCGCTGCTGGTGAAGGCCATGGGCAGCCTCCAGCGTCCCGCACTCCGAAATATCCCCGCTAGTGCTAGTGCGCACCTGGGCCGTTGTTGAGCCAGATGGGCTGTGGGAGCCGACGGTGCTCGATGGAGGCAGTTGGTTTGTGCCCAGTGGTCCCAAAGAAATCTCATAGTACTCTGGAGTCGGGTCCCGCTCTTTACCCCCCACGGAGGAGGAGGAGGAGGAGGAGGAGGAGGAGGAGGAGGAGGAGGAGGAGGAGAGGAGGAGGAGGAGAGGAGGAGGGGGGGAGGAGGAGGAGGAGGAGGAGGAGGAGGAGGAGGAGGAGGAGGAGGAGGAGGAGGAGGAGGAGGAGGAGGAGGGGGACCCCCTGCATTTTGGAGGCGCCCGCGGCGGGACAGCTGGAGCCCCAACCTGCGGCCACGCTCTGCGACTGCGTGCGTTCGGGGCTGGGGGAGCACTGTGGGAGAGCCGTTTTGCGGCCATCTCTCGGGGCTAGTTTCGGGCCTCTCGGGCCTTGTTGGGAGCCTCCCGGTTCGCCTGGGGCATCTCGGGGCGCTCTGGGGCCTCGCGGGGCGCGCTTGGGCCGTCTGGCGCCTTCAGAGGCCGTCTTGGGGATCCCTCCGAGGCGTATTCGGGCTCTCTCCGGCTCTTTTTGGGCCGTCTTGGTGCTCTCTTGGGTCGTCATGGGGCTGTCTTGGGCTCTTCTCGGGGCCCGTACGGGCCGTGTTGGGCTGTTCTTGGCGCCTCCTGGGCCGTCTTGGCCCCTTGGGCTCGCCGCCAATCTTGGGG